GTGTGTGGAGTGTGAGTGTGGTGTGTGTGTGGACTGTGTGTGGGGTGAGTGTAGTGAGTGTGTGGAGTGTGAGAATGTGTGTGCGTGTGTGTGTGTGTGTCCAGGGAGCACGAGGACGGCTGCAGGTGTGCGCGCGGGAGGAAGACAGGGGCGGGGAGCGCCAGGGCACTCTGGGGGAGCCCTGAAAGCAGGGGGGCTCCAAGGGCAGCTTTGGATGCCCTCCCCACAGACCTGGCTCCCAGGAGTCCCTGGGTCCCTGCTTTCCGGCCACCCTGCCTCATCCCTGCTCTGTCACCACTAACCCCTCTGTGCTCATGTCTCATCTCTCCCTGCCCTCTCTCCCCTCCTCTCTCTTCCTCACCCACATCCCTCATATCTCAGCCTCTCCCTCCCTTTCTTGCCCTTGGCCTCTCCCGCTCCCTGGTCTCTCTCCATTTCCTCATCCCTCCCCACAGCCTCTCCCCCTCCCTCATTCCTGCCCATGGCCTCTCCCCCTCCCCCATCCCTCCCCATTTCCTCTCTCCCTCCCTCATCTCTCCCCATATCCTTTCACCCTCCCTCATTCCTGACCATGGCCTCTCCCTTTCCCTCATCCCATCCTTACTCTTCCCAAGTTCAGTTGCATCATAAATGGCTTAAGAGCACATTGGATTATCTGCGATTTTAAAATGGCATCTGACCAGCCTGTCCAGTGGGGCCTGCCTTCTCCATGTTGGAAGGCGCCCTTTGCTGGTCCCTCAGCCCTAATTCTGGGTCCGGTCCGGCCATCTGCTGCTGTGTGAAATTAGCAGGTCACTCTGACTGTATGGCCACGTCTGCATCTCCACGTCTTCACTGATAAGTAGGAGAAGGCGAGGCTGGCTGCACCACCTCTGCCCACTCTAAGATGGCAGGAGGTCTGGGGGAGCCCTGGACTCCACTTGGACCCCTTTGTAGACCAACCCCTGGGGGGCTGCATGATTCCCGCAGCCTCAGAAGAGGGGGCGGGTGGCTGGGAATGGAGGCGGAGGGACTGGTGTGTTGCAGCCTTGGGTGGAGGGGCCCAGCAGGTGACAGCCTAGTGGGAGTGGGGGAGGGGAGCCCCACAATCAGGTCGCCCCCCTGCCCAGGGAGGTGAACATCAACCCCAGTGCAGGAGCAGAGCCTGGCTGAGGGGCTGGGCGGCGGGGGCGGGGGGGTGCCTGCCACTCACCTAGCCCCGTGCCCGGCCCAGGTGGACGAGTACACGGTCTGCTGCAAGCAGGACCTGGGGGAGCTCATCATTATCCGCCTGCATAAGGAGCGCTACTCCTTCCTCCCCAAGAACTCCTGGTATTGCAACTACGTGCAGATCGAAGCCCCCAACGGCCGCGTCTACCACTTCCCCGCCTACCAGTGGATGGACGGCTATGAGACCCTGGCCCTCAGGGAGGCGACAGGTGAGCCCTCAGCACCCCACCCCTGCCACCAGGCCCCTGGCTCCCTCCTGGCCGTCACCTGCTGGGCCCGTCTTCACCCGCCGCCCTCACGTAGCACCCTCAGTCCCTGGTGCTCCAGGGCCCAGCTCGGGGCTGCACCCTGCGGGGACACAAATAGGGGGGCTCTGGGCCACCCTCAGGGTCTCAGGATCCTGGGTCTTAGCCGAAGGCAAGTGTGCTCTCCGCTAGCTCCCCTGCGGTCCTGCTCCTGACTCCCACGGGACGCAGCAGGATGCCTTACCACTGTCCCATCTGCTGCCTGTTCCCTTACGAAGCCCTGGGAGTTCAACAGAGCCAGCGGGGTCTCCAGCGGGGCACGGGATGTTCTATTGGAACATCCCAAGGCCTCCCTCCCTGCCACTCCAACGGACGCCTTACTTCTCCCCCAGGACTCACTGCTGCTCCCAAAGGGCCCCTTCATCCAGTAACCCGGGGGAGGGCCTGTTAATGCTAGACTGGCGGGGTGTTCTCTAGTGCCCGGTCAAGGCTGAGGCTGTATTCCCAGACACTCGCTTGCTCCCCTGGAAGAGGGACAGGGAGTCCCAGCTCCTCGTGCCCACCCCGGTCTGGTGGGCTTGGCTCAGCTTCCTAGGACGTGGCTGCTACATGGGGACTGCAAGCTTGTCCTCTTAGGTTCCCTTGGCTCCGCCCCTCAAGGTGCACAGGACCGGAGGGGGCTTGGAGTTCCAGCCGGCAGCTGACACCCCGCCCCCTGCACCTCTCATTTCCCTGGGAGCAGGGAGACAGGGCCTGAGCTGGGGAAAGAGGCAGAGGCAGAGGGAGGCAGGCCTGGGGGAGGGTGAGGAGACCCAAGGGGAGAGCTCCCCCAACTCCCAGCCCGGGCGGGGGGGGGGGGGAGGGGTAATGGAGGATCTTCCAGCGGTGGCCCAGTGGCCAGGAAGCAGGGGCAGGGCAGGACGAGGCCTGGTGCCGTGCAGGAATGGTGCTGGGTGGAGCGGCCGCTTACAACAGCAGCACAGAAAGCTTTCATCACGGCCCAGCCCTGGAAGAGTCCGGCCCCCACCCAGGGGTTGAAGCCCAGCTGGGTCCCGGGGTTGCACAACTCCAGGGGGCACTGTTCACCAGGGACACAACATGAGGTGCGGCAGATGGAGGAAGGAGAGGTGGCAAAGGGGGCCTCGAGGGAAGGTGACAGGGCTGCGGCGATAGGCACATGGCAGCCGGGGCTGCCAGCCAGGACGCTGGACAGAGACAGGCCTGGGTGTCCATCTCAGCGCCACCACTTACTCGCTGGATTCTAAGCCTCAGTGTTCTCCCCTGGAAAATGGGTCTAACCGCAGAGCCTACTTCATAGGGCTGATGCAAGAATCCAGGGACATAGCCTCTAAAAGGAATTTTAAAAGGCTTAACAACTCTTGGTGTGGCTCGTGGCTAGGGGGGCGTGTGAGTGGTCCCAAGCAGGCTGCCTTGGTTCAAATCCCAGCTCACGCTTTCTCTCTGTGTAACATTGCTTGTTTTCTCCTTGTAAAACGAGCACAACGGTATGGTCCCTTAGCTGAAACTTTTGGGGGTAGGGTGGTCTTGAAATTCAGATCTGGGGCACCTGGGTGGCTCAGTTGGTTGAGTGCCCGACTCGGTTTCAGCTCAGGTCATGATGTTGAGGTCCTGGGGTGGAGCCCCAGGTCAGGCTCTCTGCTGAGCTGGAAGTCTGCTTGAGATTCTCCCCCTCCTTCTGCCCCTCCCTCCACGCACACACTCTCTCATAAATAAATCTTAAAAGAAATAAATTCAGATCTCATTTAGAATAGGTATGTATATATACATCTATATCTATATTTTCCCATTTACACAGTCTATACATTAAATAATATATCCACCAGGGCACCCCCTTGCCAAATATTCTAATATTTCTGCAGAAAAAAAACAACACACCGATAGTTATGCCAAGTGAGTTCAGTAAAGACTGTATAGCTTCCGCTAAATTCAGAGCAGGTTTTGCGGACCAAGGAATTTGTGCTCAACTTGTGAAAAAGACAAGGTTGGTGTCTATCGTATTTTGGGTTTTGGAATTGTGGAGACAGGATTGCAGGTCTGTGACAGTCACCTGCTGGTTAGGTTGTTCCTGTGTGGATCGTTATTAATATAAGTAGACTCAGGATGCCTGGCTGGCTCTGACGTGAAGCCTCTGCCTTCAGCTCAGGTCATGATATCAGGGTCCTAGGATAGAGCTCCGAGTCAGCTCCCTGATCAGTGGGGAGCCTGCTTCTCCCTCTCCGTCTGTGCTCTCTGTCAAATGAATAAATAAAATCTAAACATGTATATTTATATATGTAGGAGAGCGTGTTTGGAAAGTGTCTAGTGCCTAGTAAGGGCTACGTGACTGACCTTCACTAATGTTTTAGGGGTCCAGAAGAGGGACTCCCTCCCGGCAGCAAGCCAGGCTCCAGGGGCAGAGCTAGGGAGAGGAGGGTGGTCCCTGACCCCTCTTTCTGAGTTTTTGGGAGGACATAGCCCTCCTCCCTCCCCAGCCCAGGGTAAGCCTTCCCAGTCCTTGTCTGTGGGCCGGCAGAGCCAGTCTAGAGGGCAGGAGCTGAATTCTGATCCTCGCTAAGTGGTCCGGGGCTGACAAGGCCAAGGTCAGACCTTGAACCTCCTCTGTGGTCTCCTTGCAGGAAAGACAAGAGCAGAGGACACGCTCCCGATCCTTCTGGAGCATCGACAGGAGGAGATCAGAGCCAAGCAGGACTTCTACCAGTGAGCGGAGGGCTGCAGGGTCTGCGGGGGACCAGGGGGCCGTGATGGCTTGGCCTTCCGTCCCTGCGTTGGCTGTGGGCACCAGGCCTCACCGACTCCCTTTTCTTTGCAGCTGGAGGGTCTTTGTTCCGGGCCTGCCCAACTACGTGCATATCCCCAGTTACCGCCCTCCTGTCCGGAGAAACCCCAACCGCCCCGAGTGAGGACCTGAGGCTGCCCTGGGGCCCCTCCCATGGTTGACCCCTGGGCTCTGCCCGCTCCCTGCGCTGCCCCGGACCCCGGGTGCCCCGCCCCAGCCCTGCACTCCTTCCTACAGGTGGAATGGTTATATCCCTGGCTTCCCGATTCTCATCAACATTAAGGCCACCAAGTTCCTGAACTCAAACCTCCGCTTCTCCTTCGTCAAGACGGCCTCCTTCTTCTTCCGCCTGGGGCCCACGTGAGTGTGCGCGGGTGGAGGGGGGCGCCCCTGTCCCTGCTCCACGCGCCTCGGCCTCCGCCGCAGCCCCAGAGCTCGCAATGGCCTAGGGAGCCTGGGACCCCCCAGACCCCTGGACGCAGGGAGGGCTGCCTGTGTGAGCGCCTCCCCCTCGAACCGGGTCCCCTAGGGCGCTGGGCTTCAAACTCCGCGGCCTGGTGGACTGCAAGCAATCGTGGAAGAGGTTGAAGGACATCAAGAAAATCTTCCCCGCCAACAAGTCTTTCATCTCCGGTATGGGGTGGGGGGAGGCGAGCCCGGGGGAGCCTGCGGTGTCCGGCGGGGGGAGCTGCGGGCGCGGGCCGGAGGCGGGACGCTCCATCGGGGCCGCGGTATGGGAGGCGCAGCCAGCCCCAGGCCCGAATGACCGGCTGGGCGGGCGCGCCCTCTGGCGGCTTCGTGGAGAATGCCGCCCCGGGCGCCGCGGGCTGCTCGAGGGGAGGCTGGGGCGGGGGGCTGGGGGCGGGGCGGGGGCTTCTCGGGTGTCCGTGGTCTTCCTCTGTCTCGGGTCTCAGGGACACCCGGCCACGTCATGACGTCCTCACGATCCCCCACCCAGAGTACGTGGCCGCGCACTGGACAGAGGACAGCTTCTTCGGGTATCAGTACCTCAACGGCGTCAACCCAGGCCTGCTACGCCGCTGCACTCAGATCCCGGACAAGTTCCCCGTCACAGATGACATGGTGGCCCCGTTCCTGGGCGAGGGAACGTGCCTGCAAGCGGAGCTGGAGGTGAGGCCCGATCCGCTGGAGATCCCTGGCCTCCCAGACTCCCTCCGTCCCCGGGCGTCCCCGTCTCTCCAGTCCCACCCCGCTGTCCCCAGAGTCCCACCAGCCGCTGTATTCCCCGCTCGGGTCCTTAGCCAATCGCTGCACCTGGGGGGCCTGGGCACTCTGCACCCAAGGCGGGGCTCGCAGGTGCCCCCTGCTGGTGCCTACCTGCCCCCCCCCCCCCCCCCCCCCCCCCCCCCCCCCCCCCCGCCATTGCGGCTCCCTTGCAGAAGGGGAACATTTACCTGGCCGACTACCGCATCTTGGAAGGCATCCCCACCATTGAGCTCAACGGAAGGAAGCAGCATCACTGCGCGCCCCTCTGCCTGCTGCACTTCGGCTCGGAGGGGAACATGATGCCCATCGCCATCCAGGTGCCTGGGGTGCAGGCCTGGGGCCCTTGAGCATGTTGCCAATGCGAGCGCCTGTGTGTGCCCATGCGTGTGTGCGTGCGTGCACACGTGGGCAGGTGCCCATTTACATAAGTGTGCGATCCCTGTGTGTGCATCTGAGAACACACGTATGTTTATACATGTTCCTATCTGTATGTGTGGCCCCATGTATAAGCCTCGGGCTGAGTCCCTTCTTGTCCCTACGTGCATACAACTTCGTCCTGCCCCTGTCCACCTGTCTGCCCATGAGTGAACTTGGGTCTCTGGTGCTGTCCTTGGTGCATGCAGGGGTGTGTAGAGTGTGCCTACTCTGTGCATACATGTGCAGAGCTGACAAGATGGGAATATGCTTGGTTGCTTGAGCTTGTCTCTTTGGGTCCGTTCCCTCATTTATTTGTTAAGCCAACACCTGCTGTGTTCCAGACCTCTGCTGGAAATACTGAGCTAATCAGACTTAGCCACTGCCTTGAGAGTGGCCTGGCAGGAAAGGGGATTGAGGTGCTATGTTCCCAGAGGTCTCCACCAGCGTCATGTCCAAATTAGAAAAAGGCATCTCTTGCGCGGGGGGAGGGGGGACAAGCCAAGCCCCAATGCTCCTGGCTCATTAGTGGAACAGCGTAGCCAGGATTTCAGTTACTCTCTTTGCCCCAGAGGGCTGGTACCCTTGTGCAGTGCACAACTTGTACAGCTGAATAGGGCAGCTGTGGGGTTGAAATAAGGAAAACTTCTCAGAAGAGGCAACTTGCAAGCTGCTTCTTGAATGAATGGGAGCTGCCAGGTAGAGAGAGGGAGGGGGAAAGGGACTACAGGCAGAGGGGACAGCAAGAGCAAATGTGAGGAGGGAGGAAGGGCCCTGGTGTGTTCAGACTCTTCTCTGCCTCCTTCCTGCAGTGGGGGCTGTGTCTGTGTGTGTTTGTGTGTGTGTGTGTGCCCTCACCTAACTCTCCCTCCTTCCCTATCCCTAGCTCAGCCAGACCCCGGGGCCCGATTGTCCCATCTTCCTGCCCAGTGACTCTGAGTGGGACTGGTTGCTGGCCAAGACATGGGTGCGCTACGCGGAGTTCTATTGCCACGAGGCCATCTCCCACCTACTGGAGACACACCTCATCGCAGAGGCCTTCTGTCTGGCCATGATAAGGCAGCTACCCATGTGCCACCCCCTCTACAAGGTACTGGCTGGGCCCCAGGCCCCCCTAGAAAGGCACCTGGCTCTCTCAGAGCTCAGGGGGTACCCCTGGTAGACTTGGGGAGGCAGCTGGGCACCCACAAGAGAGGGTTTGGGGTGGGAACTTCCCAAAGTGATAGGGTCTTGATGCTGTACAAGAGGGGGGATGATGCTGAGGTCCTTTGGGGCTGACTGTGGTCCTCTCTCCTTGCTCCCTCTTGCAGCTGCTGGTCCCCCATACCCGGTACACCATCCAGATCAACAGCATCGGGCGGGCCCTCCTCCTCAACGAGGGGGGGCTGTCTGCCAGGGTAAGACTTCTGCCCGCACCCCAGCAAGACCTTTGTTGCCATTCTGGGCGTTGCCATTAGACTTAAAGCAAGATTTCCCACTTGCCTTCAGATCACAAGGGGAACGGTGGGTGGGGACCGGGGTATGTGGGTGCTGTGCCCACAAGGGTGCAGAGTGGTGCTGGCCAGGAGCATGGGAGTTCATGGGGCCGGCTGTGGGAGCATGTAGTGGGCTCTGTGCGAGGCAGGTGTGATCCTCAGAGTGGGGACCCTGCCAGGACCCCACTGGCCTCAGCGGCTGCTTCTTCCCACCCAGGGCATGTCTCTGGGCCTGGAAGGCTTTGCTGAGGTCATGGTGCGGGCTCTGTCAGAGACAACCTATGACAGCCTCTACCTCCCCAATGACTTCGTGGAGCGCGGGGTCCAGGACCTGCCGGGGTATTACTACCGCGATGACTCCCTGGCCGTGTGGGATGCACTGGAGAGGTGAGGCCGGGCTGACAGGTTGTGGCGTGCAGGGTGGACGGCCTGGGGGGTGGGAGCAGGCACGGGAAAGCTTTGAGGACCGGACCCTGGCTTGGGGCTGAGGCCACCTCCGCGCCCCACAGGAGGTGCCCAATTGCAGGGAGGGGGAGGTCTGGAGCGGCTGAGTCTGGGCCATCCTGGGGCGGAAGGCGGGGGAAAGCGCTGCGGGGGGAGGTGAGGATCCAAACTGAGGCCTGTCCCCTGGTCAGGTACGTGACAGAGATCATCACCTACTATTACCCGTGTGACGCGGCTGTGGCGGGTGACCCGGAATTGCAGTCCTGGGTGCAGGAGATATTTAAGGAGTGCCTCCTAGGGCGTGAGAGCTCAGGTATGGGCCTGGGCGCTGGGCACCTGCACGGACCTGGGAGTAAGGGGTGGGCCCTTCCAGCTGGTGGTGGAACATGTCTTGCTGGGGGCCGAGGGAGCCAAATCTTGGAGAGGCAAATCCTCAGGGAAGGAAACAGGGCTGCCAATTGGCCCCTGTGGGAGCTCAGGGGCTGTGGGGCAGGGTCATCTCTGGGGATCTTGGGGGGTCCCAGTTCCCCACGCTGGAAACAAACCTTCGTGGGGCGAGAAATGGGGTGTGAGCTCAAACTGAAAACGGTAGAGTGTGCTGGCAACCGGGGAGCTGGTGGTTTCTAGGATGGCTGCCGAGCATCCTAAGGTCATGCTGCTTGGGCACCACTCAGCAAATATTTAGTGAGCATCTATGATGTGATAAACGCTGGGTACTGGGAGGCAAAGGGAATGAGACAGGAGAAGGGGTCTGCCCTCAAGTCTCAGGGCTGGTCCTCTCAGTAGACGGGCAATCATGCTGTCTTAGGACTGCTGTAGTCCGGGGCGGGGGGTGGATGGGTGGGGTAGGGGTGCACTAGGAGCCCTGGGGAGGCACCTAACCCAGCTGGAGGAGGGTGGTGGGTGGAGAGCGGAGGGTAGCAGCATGCTAAGATCTAGCTGAGATCTAACATCCGGGCTAACATCTGGCTAGGAGCTGCAGGGTGGGGAGGTTAGCCAGCAGGTGTTAGAGGTGGGGTTGAAGAGCTCTGATGGGAAGCCAGAGCGGGCAGAGGGAGCTGCGGTTGCTGCCTGGGAGGTCCCTGCATCTGAGCTGAGGCTGGAAGTTGGCCAGACTCTATGGGGCTAAGCTAAGGCTGAAGGCAAGAGCAGGGCAGGTGGCAGGCCTGGTGAGGGAGGCTGGAATTACCCTGACCACCAGAGGGCGCCGTCGAGGAGGTCCACAAGGAAAGCAGATTTGTACCTGAGACTGTCATGTTGCTGGGGAGTCAGGAGACAGTTCCCGAAACTGCTGTGGTGTCCAGAGCGGGGTGACAGGGGCCTGGCCAGGGGGCAGTTGTGGCAAGGCAGAGAATTCCGGAGCTGCAGGGAGCGAGAAATGACAGGATTTGGTGACTGGTTGGGGTTTCGTGGTGGGCTTGGAGGGAGGGGCCAAGGACCACTGCCAGGTTTGGGGCTGTCGGAACTGGGTGGAACTGGGTGGATGGTGTGTGTCATGCTGTGAGCTGGGGGCCCGGAAGGACGAGCTTGGGGAGGATGACAATGGGTCCGGTTTGACTGTGTTAGGCTTCTGGAACCTGGGGACAATGGGAAGGAGAATCGAGCAGCTTGGTTAAGTGTGGGACCAAGAAATCCACCTGGCATGAGTGCAGAGACTCGAAAGAATGTGTGTGTGTGTGTGTGTGTGTGTGTGTGTGCACGCACGCACGTGCGTGTGTGCAGTGTGGGTGTGGATGAGGGACTGTGCTGGCTCAGGGCAAGAAAGCTGGGATTCCCCCAAAGCCTTGTACGCCCGCCCCCGAGTCCTGGGACCAGAAAGCCCCCACTAAGGGAGCGGCAGTAAAGATCCCAGGGCCCCACCTCCACCTCAGGCAGCTCTGGAGGACATGGCCAAGGCCATTTGGGTCCACCTCCCAAGACTTGTGGGCTGGATGGGATGGGGTAGGGGGGTGGGACGCTGGAGGGTGGGGCGTTGTGGTCACAGGAGGGCCAAGCAGGCAGAATGAGCTCAGGACCCCGAAAAGGCAGCTAGGAGCGTTGGCTGGACACGGTGCAGGGAACGGGTGGGGGTGTCCCGGCTCGTGGGCGCCCTCTGCCGGCCTCCAGGACAGGGGCGGGACCGACGCTGCCAGGCCTTTCCCCGCCCCCCAGGCTTCCCTCAGTGCCTGCGCACGGTGCCAGAGCTGATCAGATACGTCACCATAGTCATCTACACCTGCTCGGCCAAGCACGCCGCTGTCAACACAGGGCAGGTACCGGTCCTCGCCAGCCCCAGCTCCAGCCCGCGAACCCAGCCTCTGCCATCAGCCCTACTCAGGCCTCCGCCCAGCTCCCAGCTTCAGTCCCTAGCTCAGTTCAGACCCCAGAGTCCCGAGGGTGCTGTCTGACCCAGAACCCTACCCCCTTTGCCATCCCCCCTCGCCCCCGTCCAGCTGGAGTACACCGCCTGGATGCCCAACTTCCCATCGTCCATGAGGAACCCACCAATGCAGGCCAAGGGGCTGACCACTCTGGAGACATTCATGGACACGTTGCCCGACGTGAAAACCACGTGCATCACCCTGTTGGTGCTCTGGACACTCAGTCGGGAGCCCGACGACAAGGTGCCCCGGGGGCCTCGGGGTGCAGGAGGGGGTGGGGTTACTCTGAGCACCGGCAGGGAGAGGGCTAGGGGCGGGGGGCGCCTGAGCACAGGCGAGGGGGTGTCCAGCCCGGGAGGCAGGGGGAGAGCGGCGGCGGCGGCAGGGGCGAGGTGGAGGGGCCCGGGCTGGTGGGCGGCAGCTGCCCGGTTGTGTGCCCGCAGCGGCCTCTGGGCCACTTCCCCGACATCCACTTCGTGGAGGATGCCCCGCGGAGGAGCATGGAGACCCTGCGGTGCCGCCTGGCCCAGATCTCGCACAATATCCGTCAGCGCAACAAGGGGCTCCCCATCCCCTACTACTACCTGGACCCGGTGCTGATAGAGAACAGCATTTCCATCTAGGACCGCTCCCCTGCCTCGCCCCTCCTGCCTGCGCCTGTTTTCAGAAAAAAAAAAAAAAATCACTTGGCACAGCGCTGAGTCTGTCCATGTGCCGGGCCATTTACCGGGGGCGAGTGGAGGGGTGCCGGCTGGGACGATGCTGATCACCACTGCGGGGTCCAAGTAGGCTCAGGGCCCCAGCGCCAGTCCCTGGTCTGCCCCGATGTCCCGTGAGATCCAGCCCAGGATGCTCTGGAAGGCAGGGATACCCCGACCCCTGGCTCGCCCTGAAGTTCTGGGAGATGGCAAGGTGCTCCTGGGGATGGCAGGAGAGAAGCCTGGGACACTGCACCCCACCACCCTGGGCCTTGTCTTTCAACCCCAAGCGATTCTGGTTCATCTTAAGTGCCCCGGCCTCGGGGCTCAGACCTCCCAGGACCCCAGCCCACCAGAAAATCTACCCACGGACCAGCATCACCTGAGCCCTGCCCACCTAGGCACCCAGACCACCCAAGACCAGTCCAACTTGAAACATAAACTACCCATCTACTCAGACAAAAGACCATCCTGAGCCCAGCCTACCAGGAACCTAGACCACCCAAGCCATGCTCACTTTGAAACCCAGCCATCCCTAAGCTACTACGAACCCGTAATATCCTACTAGGAACCCGTAACACCCTACACCACAGCCCATCACCAAAGCCTACATCCCTCCAGGCTCAGCACACACAGGAGCCCAGCCTGCTAAGTGCACCCTCCAAGTAACCCGTCCCCAGGATCCCTTCCTCACCCCTACCCACTCTTCTCGAACCTGAGAATCACCCCCTTTCGGCACCCCCTGGGCCTTACTTATGGTTTCATCGCTGACTCCCCGGAGCTGCACAAGGGCTTGGCAGGTGGACTTGACCTCAGGGAGTGAGTCCACCGGGTCTGTCTGGCCTTTGGCGGTAGGTGGGGGGGGGCAAGGTTGGGGGCACCTGCATGGTGGTGGTGGGAATATTGGGCATCCCGGCACTGAATTCAAGTTGACCTCCCCTCCAAACTCCGTAAGCCCAGAGTTGCCAGTGCTCCCGTTAGCTCCTTTCCTCTGGTGACCCTGCTTATCCCCCCAGGTTTGGTGCTGGCTCGCCTGGCCACTGTCGGCGGCAGCATGTTGGGCCGAGCAGTCGACGATGACTGTGGGGAGACATTCAGTGAGCTCCCCAGGGCAGCAGAGACCCGTACATGGGGGTGGGGTGGAGAGAACAGAGCTGAAACCCAAGGGGGTTGGAGTCTAAACCTGGGGGTCTAGAGGGCAGGAGACGGGCGTGGCCACCTCACCCGAGCTCACACAGCTTAGAAAACCTTCCTGCAAGACTGCCCCGACCCAGGCCCGTGGTTCTGAGTCTTGGCTTACGACTCTGTCGTCCCGGTGAGAGAAAGATGCCGACAGTGTTGGACGCAAAGCTGGGGATCCAAGAGGACATGGTGACTAACAGCTGGGACCCTAAGGCGGAAGAGGCCACTGAGACCAGCTGCCCCAAGGGGACTCTGAAGCCAGAGAGGGAAAATGGCCAAACAGGCATTGCATGAACCACTGAGCTGACCTGCAGGCCTGGAGGTCTTCGTCTCCCCCCAGGGGTCCAAACCTAGGGTCTAGAGCTGCAGGTGGTTTGCAGATGTGCTTTGATTGACTGCCAAGGTTTCCTGTTTGCTCCTTTTTTGAGTTGAATCAATGGCCAGCACTTACATATTAGACAATGTCAGGTTTCTCTAGAAAAATCTGAAGGTCTGGCTATAGTCCTCACTGGGTCGCCATTTGTCCCCATCAGACAAGCACAAGTTCTCCACGGGCCATGGTTCTTTCCACCCTCGTCCCTTGCAAACACCGTGAGCATTGTCTTTCAGCTTCTGAGGCCAATCGAGCCACAGAGGCCAGGGCCCCTCTGTGTTCAGACTGTGGGATTGGATCCATCCACACCCCTGGTTCCCAAAGGGCAGAGCTGACTGGCCATGCTCGCTGTGGCATCCAGCCCCGGCCATAGTTAGGGCTCACGGAGGACACATGGACCCATTGTTCCCACTGTGGGCGTCCATGGGGGGGGCATCCCTGAGGATTCAAGGGGAGGTAGGGCATGAGCTGGGCTCAGAGGGGGCAGTGTTTGGCTAGTGAGAGAGGGCGAATCGGGGTGCCTGGCCTCCCCAGCCTCAGTCTCTGCTGAGGAGGAAGAATGGAGAAGAGGGAGGAGGAAGGTTCTGGAGGGGCTGAGATTCCCCAGTGCACATTGCATTCCATGTGCAAACGGGAGCCACATGAGGCCCGTGAGCAGGGCTGTCCTGAATCCTGGGGCCGAGGAAGATCGTATTGCAGGTTAACGGCAGAAGATGGGGACCCGCAGGGAGGCCGGACATCAGGAGTTCCTGCCACGGGGGTGGAGGCCAGAGGTACACCCTAAAGGGGTCTTCTGCAAGGGAGAGTCAGCAGGAAACCCTGGACACTTTCTCTATGGGGCGAATGCGCAGAAGGCACCTCCTATTGGCCTGAGGTTTGTTCTTGGGGATTTACATTTAATTCTAATAATAACCCATAAGATAGGAGCTCTTCTCATCCCTGTTTTCAGAGAAGAGACACAGAGAGGTTAGGTGACTTGCTCAAGGTCACACAGCGGGGAAAGAAGAGGAGGCAGGAAGGGCTGCAAAGTCACAGTGTGTTTGGGCAGAAGGGGTGGGAGAGTGGTGAGCAAGGTACAGAGATATAGATGGGGGGGAGACCGGGAACCCCCAGCCCCCCGGGGGAGCTTCACCTGTCTGTGGCCGCCCGGCTCCAGAGCACATTACCTGGGGAGTGGTAGTGGGCAAGGTCCTGAAATTCTGGGCCAGCCAGCTGGTGGGGCGGGAGGAGGGAGGGCAAGGTGGAAGCCTCTGGCCCTTTTTGGTGATCCGCGGCAGGCAGCCTGCCCGTCCTGTCCCAGCTGAGTTGATCAGCTGCTGAGCAGAGACACCCCCCGCCCCCACCCACTGCTCAGGGCCACAGCTCAGCAGCTCCAGGGCCCCGACTGGATGATGAGCTTTCGAGGTGCAAAGAGCCCAGTGCGGGCCTCAGCGTTGATGTCCGGGGGTAGTTGACACAAGGACAGAGCAGGGAGGGACAACCAGAGTCAGCGGTTAGATGAGACAACCTCACGGGCCCCAGTGGGTGGCCCCATGGGCAGCTACTGCGCATGGGGAGAAAAGAGGTCTCCATCGTAACGTGGATTCCAAGCAGATGAACCTGGAACAGTGAGTGTCGGACCCAGGTCTGGCCAGGAGCCAGTCACAGCTATGTCACTGGGAAGGATGGTGGCGCCCTCTGGGCCCCAGCGTCTGAGGGAGCTGGAATGGGAGGCAGTTCGTGGGGAGGGTAGGCATCAGGCGGAATCTGGGGCAGAAAGTGCAGCCTGTTACCCTGTCCACGGGGCCACATCTCATGGTCAACCTCCTTCCTAGCTGTGTCTCTTCGGGAAAGTTAACTAACCTCTCTGTACTCAGGTTCTTCAGCTATAATGTGAGGTTGGTGGGGGCACCTGGGGGGCTCAGTCTGTTAAGCATCTGCCTTTGGCTCAAGTCATGGGGTCCTGGGATCAAGCCCCAAGTAGGGCTCCCGGCTCAGCAGGGAATCTGCTTGTCCCTCTGCCGCTCCCCTTCCCCCTTGCTTGTGCACACGCTCGCTCTCTCTCTCTCAAATAAATACATAAATAAAATCTAAAAAAAAAATAAAGTGAAGTTGATGATAAGCATCTCTCCATCCTTGGTTGCTCTGAAAGATTAACTGAGTTCAACCTGGCCAGTGATGGAAGGGAGGTAGGAAGGCTCCCTGCTCTGATTACCTCTCGCACAGCAGGAAATGGCCCTTAAGGCCGCCTTGTTGGCTCATGGTGCAGGGCTGGGTCCAGGGCTCCTGGTACCAGCCCAAAGTCACCCCGCTCCCCGGTTGTGTGGGGCAGAGGCTGGAAGGGAGGGCGTGGAGATGCCTTCCAGAAGGTGTTCCGTGTTTAACTGTTGGGAACACGGTCGTGCGGTCCTAGGTGCGTGGTCTGATAGAGTTGATTTGGAAACCTGTGTCAGGGGGGTTTGTTCTCTGACACTGAGTATCACAACCTTCCCATCAAGATAGAGATGGAAAAGGACTAGACAACAGCAACAACAAAACTAGGAAGAAAACCAAAGCAGGGTGCTCGCTTCGGCAGCACATATACTAAAATTGGAACGAAAACCAAAGCAGGGAGGGGCCAATTGGGTTAGATGTGGTGTGGTGATTGGCACTTGGAACAGTAGCATGGGGGGGGGTTGATAAACCTTGCAGTCATCTCCAGGGGAGGCTGTCCCTCCCTGCACGCCCAGCCTTCCCAGGGCCCCGCCTTGCTGACCTGGATGGGAGGGGCAGCAGGGGTCCGTCGAACTGGACGGGGGTGGGTTGCTGCCAGGAACTGGGGCAATTCATTAATGATGCTGGGGCAGACCCCAAGAGGTTGGCATGGCACACCAGGTACAGAGGGTTGTCTAGAGGAGGAGAGGAGGAAGAAGGGGGGGCTGAGGGAGGGCACATCTCATCCCAGTCAGCCCACAGAGGGGAGAAAGAGCTGCTCCGGGGAGCCCCAGCAGACCCCCTGGAGGTAGGGCATCCTTAGTAACCATGACAACAGGCAGGGGCATGGGTCCTGGCAAAGGAGCAGGAGAGAGCACTCCCCGCTCACCCTGCTTGCTGTCCCAGAGCAGCACCGCTCTGTCCAGGGCTGAGCAGCAGGCACTGGCTCGGAAAGGCACTGAGCTAGCTGGGAAAGGAGGGGACGCAGGGCCGGGTGGAAGAGACAGGTTGGGGGTTGGGAGCCTGGGCTCCTGAAAGCACTGGGACGGGAGGGAAAGGAGGCAGGACCCCTGGGCCCCTCACCTCCAGCTCAGCCTGCGGACCGGCCTCTGGGTCTGGTCCAGCCCAGGGGTCCATACCTTCAGCGATGGGAAGTTCTTTGGGGCTCCACGATGGCGCTGGACCAGGATGGGGATGAGGCCATTCTGGAAC